TCCGCCTCTGCTGAGGGACTCCTCCACGCAATTCTTCTAGCTTCGACTCCCACCGAGGGCGCTAGGGAACTAACAAATATGGAGCGTGGAAGTAGGCCTCCAAGAATAGACCCAGACGGCCACGTGCCAGCATCTTCGTCAGAGCCTGGCACAATCTGTTCTCCCTGCTTCCGCTCTCCATAGCAACTGTAGTAGGGAGAGGCAGCAGCAGATTGACTGAGAGACTGTGGGCGGGCATCTGGCATGCCTCATTCCAGTCCATCCTACGTCTACCAGATCTCCTCGCCTGACTGACGACTTTGCAAGCCGTCAAAATTAACTCTGTTACGATTTGGACTTGTACAGGAAAGCGTGGCAAAGTGAGAGTGTCCATTGATACTCCATCATTGAACTGGATATGATTAATTTCAAGTTAACTGCTAAGCTGTGCTCACAATATTTCAACCATATCTTCTCCTTATATTAAAAAAATATTATAAGGGGCTTCATCAACCTAAGAAAGGCTGCACCATTACATCTAAAGGACAGCACTTCCTGTTCTTTGCATCATTTTGCACATATTTTGTGATATTAGAAAACGTGGGGTTCTACAAAATACCAAAATCTCTCATCTACCTATCTGGCTTTTCCCTGTTGACTTGTCCTCTAACCAAACTGCTTTTCTCTTCACAGGAGCAGCTGGTTCTTCCTGTCAGGCCCAAGAAGCCTTTTCCAACCGGCCTGTGCTGCCTCACCTTTGGCCTGGTGGTTTTCATGTCAGGACTGGTGCTGGCCTCTATCTACGTTTATCGCTACTACTTTATACCTCAGGTCAGTTCACTCTGCCTCCCCTTTCTTACATTACAGCCTGAACCCAGAATGCTTAAAAAAGAGACAACCTGAAGTAACTGTCACATGCTAACTCAGCTCTGTTGCGCCCCATTAGCAGATCCCAGAAGACAGCTTGTTCCACTGCAAAATTTTCTATGAGGACTCCATATATGCTCCTCTGAGGGGACGGCATGAACTTGAGGAGAACGTCGGCATCTACCTTGAGGACAACTACGAGCAGATCAGCGTACCTGTGCCGCACTTTGGAGGCAGCGACCCTGCCGATATCATCCACGACTTTCAGAGGGTAGGTTAATGCATCCATGTGCTCACTGGTTTTATTCTTATTACATTGTATTGTTAAAGTGTTTCATTATAGGTTGAGTATTAATGTTTCTTTATGATTCCAGGGCCTCACAGCTTATCACGACATTGCTTTGGACAAATGCTACATCACTGAGCTGAACACAACCCTGGTGATGCCCCCACGGAGCCTGTGGGAACTGCTCATCAATGTCAAGGTGAGACACTCCCTACATTCGCTGCTGATGTCACTGGTGAAGCTGTTGTAAAAGCATTGTTAGAGAGATTAATGGCTGTCTGAGAGAGTGAAGGACAGCGTGTTACCGTCTTGGGTACTAAAGCATTCCTCCCACAGACAGCTGAGTGATTCATTCGTGTGTTTTCTTGTCACAGAGAGGGACGTACCTTCCTCAGACTTACATCGTCCAGGAGGAGATGATGGTGACAGGGAGAGTGAGGAACATGAGGCAGCTGGGCCCGTTCATCCACAGGCTCTGCTACGGCAAAGAAACCTACCGCCTCAGACGCCGCAGCCAGCGCAGACGTGAGTCCACACATCCTTTTCCAATCTAATCATGCAATATGGGATGCTAAATAATGAGCGATGGGTGACTTGCGCTTAGTTATCACCCTTTGTCACACCAACGGTTGTGTGATGTTGAGAAAACAAATTCAACCCGAACCAAATAGGGGCTTCCTAGTGAACATTTCAGACATTGTGTCTGCAGTGTAAAATCCTCCTAACAGCCTGGCAGCCTGATCATCATGTCAGTGTTTGTATGTGGGCGCAGCCTGGGAGCTTCCTGCTTAGTGAGTCACTGGTAGTGGACACATCCACACACTACGGAGGAGGCAGTGATGCGCTCCGGTGATATCTCTGTCGTTGCTGACTTTGATTGGCATGAGAGCTAATGATGCAACAAACTTCCCCTGAGTACATATATGGATGTGATTTGCGGGGATCCCCCATTGCTCATTCAAAGTGAACACCTGCAGAATGTGAACACTCAGCTTTCAGTACTAAACAGATTTACTAAACGCATGTTCTTTTTCTCTTCCAGGTATTGACAGGCGTGAGACAAAAAGATGCCACAGCATTCGTCACTTCGAGAACACTTTTGTGGTCGAGACTGTCATCTGTGACAGGGTCTAAACTGGGGCAGAATCCACAGCCATCCAACACTGAAGCCAATTTCAAACCATACCTCTTGAATTCTTTAGGCTTTTAACTGCACTTTAAGAGCAAGTGTTGTCCAACACTTTCAGTTTCAATGTTTGTTATTTTTCTCAAGTTGGAAATGCTCTTTTATTGTCAACGTACGATGTTAATGTCTTTTTTATTCAGTCTGTATATCTGGATGTTTTAAATGTGTATGGATATATCTGTAGCTTGTCGAGCTGTGCATAAGATGTTACTGTGTGTCAGTTTGTGACATTTACATCAGAAGACTTGATTTTATTTTATTTATGACTTGTCGTTATTGTTATTTAATGACACAGTGCACCGGGGGTGATGGTACAGATACTTGGAAGCTGCTTGCACGGTGCACTTGTGTTAATATTCGTTTCTTGGCTCTTTTGTTTTGAATGTCAGAAAATGGCAAAACATACCTCATGTAGTTTAGACGTTTCTTTGCTGGTCTGTATCATTAATGAATGGTGTATATAATTTTGATTGTTCCTAAGCAATATATACTGTAAATTGATTTTCCTGATTTTTATCTGAAACCATTTTGATTTCATTATGGTTTGTCTGTTAATTTCCTTTGGTATCACACTTTCCTACTCCTTGGATATAATGGCTTTAGACTGTAATTAGTAGCAGTGTTTTAGAAGGACATGAAGGAACCAAAGTCTGCAGTATGCTGTGCTTAGTGTCAAGTATATGAAATACTTTAGAGAGAATGCTTTTTGGTTTAGATCACTTACTGTAGATGATATCAAAGGCTAAAACTCATTTTGTCTTGCTCTTCCTCCTCTTCATTTGGATTTTGCCTGTTGTCTTTAGCTCTCGCCAGCACCCAATCCTTTCTTTCTTGGCATTATAATCTCTACAATGTTAATTTGTCCCAATTTAAAACAAGATTTGGGGTGTCTTTCTAATGTACAACCTGGAGCAAATAAGTCTCTGTTGAGAGAGACCCGTGGTATGTGCTCATATTTCATTTCGTTGTACAGTCAATTTTTCTTGTAATATCTTGCTGCTTTAAAAATAAATGATCAAACTTTTTTTGTCTTCTGAATGTCCATCATTAACAATCATGAACCTGCACATTAAGGGGTAGAGTAATTGGAGACTGAGCTAACAGTATTCCAGTGTGTAGACACAGTAAAAAGGCAGCTGGTCTTTGTAAAGACTGTCACAGCCAGTGCAACAGGATGTAACTGAGACAATCACAAAGTCCTGATCTGCGGGACGTGCTTCACATATTTTAATGTGCTGGTCGCAATCTTAGTTTTCTAAAGAACATAAAACTGCAGCGTCAGTGTGATATCACAAGATGCGTATTTTGTGGTTAGCTTTGCTTCACTTTAAAATGGAAGATGAAGTTTGGTTTCAAAATTGATGTGGTGCTAATTAATGAGAAAAGTTGAGGAAAGTAAAAATTCCTGTAGTTTTCTTCATGTCATAATGTATATGTGAACTAGTGTATATCACACACTGGCCACCGAAGTAAAGCATATGGTATAAAAATACAAAATCTACATTATCCACCCGTTAAAGGCTTTGATGAATGCTAATTTTACAGATTAAGAATCTTCATTAAACAAAAGGACTTCATGAAAAAAACGTTTTTACTTTACAAAAAACAACAGAAACAGAAATGAAAACAGAAACAAAACTGAACACAAATAAATGTAACACTGAAAGAGGAGGCGTGTGCAAATGAAAGTATCAAGACACAAGTAATGCAAATAAACCAAAACGTGACAGTTTCACATTTGTTTCTGGTTTTAGAAGAGATTATTTTACAAAATTAAAACAGCATTAATACACAGTAAACCCCCTAATGGAGACACCTTCCACTGTTAGCACAAGGTGACTCTGATCAGCATGAGCAAAGTAAGACAGAGAGCGGCTTCATGTACTGCATGTGCACCTTCGTATAAAGCAAATGTCCTCCTGTAAACATACTAATATCAAAACAGTTTCATCAACAGTTACAAGTCAGGCCGACTGCCATTAACAACTGGCCTCTAACAATCTTAACAACATTATTGCACATTTTAAAGCTACATTGTAAAAATCATTACATTGATTACATTAACATTTGTCATATATATATATGTATATACACTGTGGTGATTTTAAGGAAGTTAGTCAGTCAGTTAAAACATTCAGCGGACCTTTACACTTATTTGCTTCCTCATTTGTATCACGGCAACTGAAGTGTGACAACCCTTATTTGAGTTTGCATCAATAAGGTCGGAGATCAATTTGAAATATATACAATGCCATATTTCAATCTCTATCAATCATTGATAGATAAAGTTACTTGAATTACAAGTAAATAATTTTTCTTTATAAAAAAACAAGTCACAACTTGCTGAAGAACCAGCCTAAGAAAACTTCAAAAATTAAGACAATAATAAAATGTTTTCAGTATCACTTTAAGTTGATTAAAATCTGTTGTCACTAAGCTGGTAATTATAAATAATTATCAATTAATAATAATCAATCGCATTCATGTGTTTTTCAGATCTCAACTGCTTGGAGTCTTGATTTATTCACATACAAGGTAAGTGATATTTAAATTAAATTAACATTTGAATGAATATGTTGGTTTAATTTATTTACTTGCTTCAGATTGAATTGTTTGAAGTTGACTTTTTTATGTAAATCTGCATTTTAAATATGAGAGATGCTACATAGATAATGCCTCTGATTGGTATCACAGTTAGTTTTGCAATTTACTCACTTTCTATTAAATGAAATTGGTTTGAAGTGTATCAGCGCTGATCTTAAATGATTGGTCTTTAGAACATTAAGAGCAGCTTTGACTTGACTTATTGAGCGTAATACACAGTAGGCTACAAAGCTCTGCAATGAGCTGCTGCTGCTGGCTTTGACTACTTTGAAATGCACGGTAGCCCACACCAGTTTCTCATCGAGTAGGACTGGATGACCTCAAAGTGCCTCGAGCCAAATCACAAGCTCATCCATAAATCATGATAGAAAGAAGTCACATTGTGGCTTGTTGGCGGATTTTCTTTCTGCAGCCTACATTTTCGGAGCTGTCTGAGGTTACAGAGGCGTCAACAGACTTCCTGTCACTGGACCAAATCATGTATCACAGCTCATCAGATCCTCTCCCCACACTACGTTTTCGCCTCACTCTCAAGCGCTGTGGTTAATTGAGATTGCACTTTGACCTGTCTCTCTTAGTGCATGGCACACTGTCAGCTACGGGCTCTTTTTCAGTTTCACTGCCCTGCTAAAACTCAAGAAGCCAGATCTCGTATTCACCACCAGCCGTCCTCTGAGGACAAGTACATATTAGAACTGTCTTTGTGTTCAGACCTCTGAAGTGCTGAAGGTGGCTCTTCTTTGGACCGACATCCTGAAGGTGTGTTTGGTGCTCCTCACCTCATGAGCGATGAAGTAGTAGCACAGAGCGTCCAGACAGCAGGTGATGTTGGACAGGCACATGGCGATCTGTATGAACAGGCTGATCCTGGTCTTGTTGCTGCAGTCCTGAATTATTCCTTGGCGTACCTGGAGTTATGTGAAGGGTCACACATGGAGGACAGAGAAACATTAGTCAACCATCCTGCCTACAGGTATGAAAAGCACAATTTTAAAAATCAGATCTTTATTTATTTTTACCTTTATTTTACCAGGAAGTCCCACTAAGATAAAAAATCTATTTCACAAGAGAGACCCTGCCAAGGTAGCAGCCGTACAAAATAATATTAAAATACATCAAACAAACATGATGTATTAAAACAAACAGCAGAGCTCACCCAGCAGTGTGAACTATGCTACAGTTTTGCATGTTCTTATCAGGCTTTTTGAAACTGATCTCTGTATATTTGCTGCACTTATTAAAACTACCTGCCAGATCAGCAGCAGTGATGAGTTTGACTTTTTTTTTTAACGTCTCAGCTCCAGGATCTTTTTACAGTCACTTTTCTAGAATGGTCACAGATGCTGTATTTAATACTAAAATAAAAAGCACAAAGAACAGGGCACAACAGGGCATTGGCTCCTTTCTTTGCTTCAGTGCACATATTTCTTTAGCATTTAAATGTGGGAAAAATAAGACCTTGAGTCACCTGAGAAATTTCTCTGAAGATGATCATGTAGTAAACTTTGAGCTACTGGTTTGTCATTTCTCTAACCAAAACCAGGCCAAAAAAAAAAAAAAAACCCACAAAAGGATGTCAGTATTTCTGAAAACCTGGTTTCAGTGCTGCTCTGTATGCTTGTAGCTAATGTCTGTGTGGTTTGGTATAAAAACGGAGGAACTGACTCCATGTATATTGTTTGTTAATTAGAAAATTAATTAGGCATATGCATTGTAGAGATTATACTTTTTTATGTATATATTACATTTTGGGATGAAATCCTTTACTTGCTGAGTCCTCAGGCCCTGTTTACATGTGTACAAATAATTCTGTAAAAGGATATAATCTCTATGTTTTGGCCTCTCGTCCACACGCAGAATTGTAGATTTTTGAAACATCTTTCAAGGTGCAGATTTTTTAAAGCTCTAGTTACTGTGTATTCATGTGTACATGTAAAATGGAGTGTTTGGGAAAAGCTAATGTCGCGTCCTCAATTTGTGCATGCACATTGTAGCTTTGTGCAATGAGCATATGCTACAATGGCAGACTGCCAGTTTGCTAATGGTTTGTTAGCACTGCTTGGTCGAATGACAACTTACCCATAGTGCTTTTAACCAATGCAAGGTGGCGGCACGCATAGATGCAGCGACCCAGAGCTCTCCCTGCTTTAGCAGAATTAGAACACAAGCAAAAGAATGGTTGTAATATAGAAATAAAGATATGAATGTGTGTGTATACGTGGCTGTGAGAATGATGTGATGAGCAGCTGTCTTAAAGTCTGCCAGAAACGAGGGTTTTGAATCAGGCCCGGTCATACGAGTAGATGGTGTGACAATTCCCAGAGTGGGATTGTTGTTGATGAGGAATGAAAGAAAAACTTTCGCATCTACCTGCTGATGAAGATTTGTGATCGGGAGCTCCAAAACAGCAGGTGAGATTGTTTTCATCTTTATGTTATCTACTTAAACCTGTTTCACTCTTTTCACTTTAGAGTTCAGTTTACTCAAAATGAACTTGCAGTTTCTCTCACCAGGAACTGCAGGAGGATGCCCAGGTGGCTGGGGGTGAAAGGCAGCAGGAAGGCACTCAGACTGCTGTAGATGATCTTCACACAGGCCCGGCTCTGGGGGCTGCGCTGGCCGGACTGCTGAAGTGCCCAGATGGTCTGGACCGAACAGTAGATCAGCACCATCGCCGGCAGCAGGAACCCAAACACCTGCAGGCAGATGATCACCAGAGGGCTCCAGCCGTTCTCTGAAAACTCATGGAAGCAGTGGAACTCCTTCTGCTTGTCCTCCCTAAAGCGATAGATGGTTGGAGAGATTGCTGTCAGCACCAGCAGCCACACCCCAACGCAAGTCCCCAGAGCCACTTTGGGTGAACGCAGTTGCTTGGCTTTGAACGGGTGACAGATTGCCACCCATCGGTCCACAGCTATACACATGATGGTGTAGATGCTGCCGTATATCCCAATAAAATACAGGCTTTCCAAGACCAAACAGAGAGGCTGGAGGTCGGCAGGCCAGCTGTGATTGGTGGCGTGCATTTTGAAGGGAAGTGGGAAGAGGAGGAGCAGGTCCATCAGGGCCAAACTGGTCATGTAGATTGTTGACTCCGTCCATTTCCGCAGAAAGAGGCAGAACACTAAGAGTGCCACGACATTAAGAATCAGACCAATGGGGAAGATAGGTATGTAGATTGTCAGCTCCAAATATTTCATCAGGTGGTCCACCTCTTTAAAGGAGCAGTTGCTTGTCATGGTCTCGCTGCTGCTGCTGCTGCTGCGGGGGAAAGAGTGAATTAATTTCAACAGCTGTGCTAAAGTGAATTCAAGGCAAATCACTCTTTCCTGTCATTACTCTTTGTTCCCACACAGACACATATGCAACATACACAACTGTACCATGTGAAAGCCCTCAGTTGTGTGGGTTCAGTTTCTGTGAACTTGTTTTTGTAACTGCTTTGTGATGTCAAGGCCAACAACGCCAAGAGAACATACATTACTTTCAATCACGTGCCTTATATTCAGTGTTACAATTAGAGGTTGTCTGGTACAGGTTCAAGCAAATTGGTAAATTATTTTGACAGTTAATTTAGATATGAAAGAAGCGTGATCTTGGCTCTGGTGTTTGACCTTTTCAGTTCACCTGTCTATAATCAAACACTAATAAAGAGTACTGAAATGATGTGGGAGTTTAGTGATTTAATTACAGTTAAATACAGAGAGCCTTCAGAAGAAGCTGGAGTTGGTATGCAGTCGTCATTAGAGGAAAATATCAGTGCGTGACAGAGAAAACCTTGAACTATTACCGCTTTGAGTCAAAAATGATACCACAGAGAGAAACTGAAAACATATTTCTGCAGCTATTTATCTGAAAGAATTTTTTAAAAAAATCTCCCACCAGACCAACTGCACATTAAAAGTCACGTAGGCAATCGTGGGCAGACATGTCTATACCATGCTGTTGGCTCATTCAAGTGATCGACACTGACGCCCTTTCTAATTAGATCAATGTCGTTCCCATTTCACTTAAAATACAAAAATATTTCTGCAGTTCCTTTACACTTATTCTGTACTTTTAACGTCTAATTTTAGAGTATTAACTGTGAACAGGTGATAAACAAACATTTGGTCCATCACAAACATTTAACTGCAACACTTTAAAAGTCGAACCCTGTGCTTTCTTAGGTATCTTGCACAGCGGAAAATCTAGTTGCACTCTTACCTCACAGATTCCAGCAGTATCTCAGTCGAACGTTCAGTGTGTGTCTGTGTCTGTCTGACAGTCTGTGCTGTGCCAGACGCACTTCTGCTTTTTCTACCTTTGTTGTTTCATCACCACTTCCTGAGTCATGGCACACATCGTATGTGTGATTTCAGATGTGCATTATAGCCTTTTTAAAATAAAAACAAAGGTGAACTCGTCCAGCAGGTCTTACTCTACTCACCACTTTTATACCTACTCTTATACATGTGTACTTACTTTTTACATATTTACACATGCATGCATGATCGCTGCCGACTGCTAGAAGGGAAGATTTCATTTGTATTTGTAATGTAAGGAATAGTGAGTGGTGTTTCACACAAAATAAATATACAAAAATAATTAGAGCTAAAACAATGAATTGATTAATTCTAAAAGGTGATGATTACCTGCCTTACTCTGTTTTATATTATTATAAACTGAGTATTATTTGACTTGAACTGCTCCTTGGACAAAATTCAAAATTCAAAATTCAATTCAAAATTCAAAGACATAATTTTGGGCTCTGAGAAATTGTGGCATTACATTGAAAAAAAGGATTACTTGATCAATCAAAACATAATCCTCAAAGTAACAGGTAATTAAAATAATCATTAGTTGCAGCTCTAATAATAAAATCAAAACAAAATATCAAAAACAACGTATGAAATCTGCACAGTCAAAGAGAATAATTGGAGAAACAAGACAAGACGCCTCAGCTGTGGTGCCATCAGCAAGCTAACATGCTCACAATGACGATGCTAACTTGTTTACAATGTTCACCATGTTAGTTTAGCATGTTAGCATGCTAACATTTGCTAATTAGCACTAAGCAAAGTACAGCTGAGCCTGACTGGAAGTCAGTATTCAATTAATTGAAATGTTGACGCTGGTTGAGAAGTCAGACGATCACCAAAGTTAGTAGGAATCTTCCTAGACGACCACAAATGTCTGTATATATAATCTCAATCCATCCAATAGTTGTTGAGGTATTTCTGTCTAGATTTAAGTTATGAATAGTGCAATTAAAAATCATCTGAAAAGACATGAGCCAAATATCAAAAGGACACAAACTCAAACAGGATAAGATGAGATATAAATCGAGGAAGCTGTATTTGCTGATACATGTCTGTTATGTCTATCTACCACATGTCAAGACTGTGGTATTTTATTTCCTCAGTCTGGAGTTTCCATCACTTTAAAGAAACGAGGTCATATTGTTGTGACTGTTCACTGCATCTCGTGGATTTGTGTGTTTACTAAACTTAGTGTTGTGATGTTGACATGGTGACAGACAGCATGTATGATGAAAAGGCCAGGAGCAGGTGACTTTACATCCTGACATTTTACTTTTTAGGCCAAACACTAGTTTGTTTATAGTTTCCGTCTCCTGGTCAAACTACAAATGTAACAGTGATCACTCATAATGCATGATTACTCCAACGCTGTGATTTCTGTACTGGTATTAGCAGTGGTATTAGTCTGAGTGTGCGTGTCGAAATCAGTCTTCCCGTCTCAAAGAGAGACTGAAAGCTGGAGCATTCAAAGCATCGAGTGTTTCAGGTCGGTGAGAAGCTGCAGAGCAGATTTAGACTGTGATTATGTTTGAGGGTTTCCTGGTTTCAGGTGCTGAGATGACTTAACTGTATTTAGTGTGTGAGAAGTTCGTCTCTGACCCTTTTGTTCAGAAAAGAAATGTAAGACTGTATCGGTGAAGCTTGTGGAGGACAGTTTGAACTTGAGTTCTCATCAGTTAGCAGAGACATGTTTTTGATGTGGAGTAAATCAGAAAGATTGAGGGCACATCAGTGTGTGAAGATGCATTTTGGGGAAAACCATTGCCTTTTTTCTGTAAATGCAAATGAAGCTGGCAGCCACATTGCCACCTACTGTTGTGACTGAAGTGAGGCTGGTGGCTTCTATAGATTAATGCACATCACATTGTCCTCTGGTATAGAGCTTATTTTATGTCGTCATTTGAGATACACATCTTTTCAACACATGCTGCAGATTTTATTTTAACATTGATTAATTTATTTAAGTAAATTTTAACAGAACACGAACACCAATAGTAAACTATGAGTATATACAGTAGTAATGATGTGGTTACGATATGACTATGGAGGGAATCACCATGACAACAATCACTTCTGAGTAGACAACCGGGCAGTGTTCAAACCCAGCAAAACATAGCAAAACGTTTATCAGAAATGGTGGTGCGTTACTGCTGATTGAGTAACACCTCTGACACACACAACAAACTAGAGAAAATGTACCTCAAAGCGTGTTGCACTTTGTTTCATGTTGTTTTGAGTTAACACATTGTTCAACCTGGATACAAATAAAGTTCCTTTTAATTTAACTAAGCTGTATTAAAAGGCAGTGTGCCTGTGTTTGCACAACAGGGTGTCCAACGCACCACAGTTCCTGTTTAAATAAATGTTTTTTGTTGGAGCTGAACGCAGCCCTGGTTCACATAAACGTTGCTGCTGGTTGGGTAACACCTCTGACACACCCAACAAATGAGAGACAATGCACCTCAAAGCTCGTTGCACATTGTTTTAAGGCAACGTGTTGTTCAGCCTGGATACTGTGGCAAAACAGTGCACACTGCTTTCAGATTGAACGTGCACCAATTGATTTAAATAGGGAAGATGCGTTAAATCTGCAAACTTGTTTATTCCTGTTGTCATTTTCAGCCATAACTGTAACGTTTAAAGATATATAGTTAAACACTGCAGTCTGACTTACTGCCATTTCTGCTGTGCTTATTTTATATACTGTGCTGCTTTGCCAGTGTCTCTGATAAATCAAATCTACCAACATGGAAGCTAAGCAATGTACTGCTGTGCCACCTAAAAAAGTCAGTATCAGTTTAAAGTGTACATTACATTTGAAATATTTTCTTTGATTTACCATAGACGCTAACCACACGAGGCAGTGGTAGACCAGCAAGTCCCGTGTTCTGCGAAGTAAAATTACTGCTTTTGTCAATAAAGTCTGGTGGCTTTGAGATTACGGTTTCAGTTCCCCGTCTGAAAGGGAAGTCTGACGGCAAAGTAAAGCGTGGTGAAAATATTTTAAAATATTGTGTACACTTAATTTTTTTTTTTTTTTTTTTTTCCTGCAAACTAAATAATTTAGGCAGTGTTTTCCCTGTGCCGCTTCATTTTACATACTGGTAATGATGCATGTTTATTTGTATCTCGAGGGCTGGCATTACAAATTGTTTTTCATACAATACCAAAAAAAGAAATGGTTATATTTATATTTCACAAAAATCTGTAAGTTTCGCTCTGTTGACTGTGTTGACTCAGTGGTCATATGTTAAAAAACCCACACAGTAGTCATTTGACATTTGGCATCTAATTTATTGTATTTATTTATTCATCTTAAATCTCACAAGATAATCTGGCAGTGACATTACCATGGCAACATCCAGCTGGATGGCTGACGACTCTGAGGCGTATAGAAAAAGACAAAATAATGTTACTAAAATAATTTCCAACCCCCCTGCAAATATAACAACGACAAAAAACACTCACTTGAGTGCAAACACAAATTCATCCACGCTCTAACTTTGTATTTGCTCTGCAGGTAAAAACAACCCAACTCCCTGTTTACATTCATCGAAGAAGCCTTTCTAAAATGTTTTCTCCTTATTTTGACTCTACAAATGTTTGTAAATGGTGCAATACAAACTTGTGCACCGTGACACCAGGGGAATATTTTAGACATGAATCTGGCTTTACTTTAAAATCATTGTGAAAGACTAATAAAAAAAACAACAACTCATGTTTAGACACAAATCTGAAATATCTTTGTTATAGAATGGAAAAAGACACAGACTGACAAAAGCAAACACACCTCATGTACAAATAAAGCAAACACATGCAGGATACTTCACATCAGGAAATAAACAGCCCACAAACTTAAAAAAAATCCCTTAAAGCATGCAAGATAAAGAAAAAAAAGTGAATGACATGCTATGATTTCCACTGGAAGAGCCAGCCAGTTTCTAACATTAAACCTTCAGTAACACGTGGACATGTTGAGCAACAATCAGACTGTGTAAATCTGTAAATAGTCAGTCAAGGGACCTGCCACAATTTTCAGCATCTACAGCGAAGCAAAAGACACAACTCATTTTTGCAAGAAAGAGTTGAAAGATTAAGACGAGAGGTGAGGAACATCGACATAAAAACACACACACACTCAAACACATGCACACAAGATGTGTTCACTCTAAGAGGCGGTGAACTTCCTGAGTGTGATGACGATGAGGGCGAGGAGGACAGATGCTCCCAGGAAGACTGCTATAACGATGGCTGTGATGGCCCCTGGCCCCAGCACCCCTGCACACACACATACATACAGAATTTTAATCATTTAAACACATAAGTTTGGCACAGTCATGGTGTATATAGAGTCCGTTTTACCTTCCTCCTCGTCCAGGGCCTGAGAGTGTGTGGTCTCCTCGTAGTCGAAAGTGAAGGATTGCTCCGTCATGTCCTGGAAAGGGTCTTTGGTGGTGACGTCACTGGGTGGCTCTCCAGACATGGTGTCCTGGCTGTCTCTGATTGTTGAGTCTGCGACTGTCTCTGCAGACCAAGAAGAAAACAATTACAATTTGACTCACTGTGTGTTTTCATAAGGGGACAGTTCATCCAGTAATCAAAATATATATTATACATATTTCTCCTCTTACCTGTAGTGCTACTTATCAGTCTAGATTGTTTTGGTGTGAGTTGCCAAGTGTTGGAGATACTGGCCATAGAGATGTCTGCCTTATCTCCCATGTAATGGAACTAAATGGCACTCAGCTTGTGGTGCCTGAAGTGCCCCCAAAAAATACCTCTGAAAAACTCAACAGCAATGTCTCTTTCCAGAAATCATGATCCGGTTACTCAAGATAATCCACAGACTTTTTTGTTTTAAGTTTCACGTAGGAACTATTTTATTTCTTGTGAACAACACCCGCCCACCCCCATCACTGCACAGAAGGAAGTGTGCACCCACTCATGGACGAGAGGCTCATGCTTGTGACAGCGAGAGATTTAAACTTGATGCCGTCCTCCTTGGCTGGGCTGTAACATTAGCTAACTCGGTGCCAGGTGAGCTAGCAGTAGATGCCTGTTTCCTTCTGTGCAGTGATACAGTTGGCGGGTGTAGTTCCATAGAAAGAAAATAGTTCCTTCATAAAACTGTTCACAGAAAGGAATCTTATGGAATATTTAAGGGAACTAGATGGCACTCTGCTTGTGGTGCTAGTCTAAAAAAAATACTTCAGAAAAACTCAACAGCAATGTCACTTTCCAGAAATCATGACCTGATTACTCAAGATAATCCACAGACCTTGTTGTGAGCAGTTTCATGTAGGAACTATTTTTACCAAGCCAAACCCACCAACCAAATCACTGTGCAGAAGGAAGAGTGCATCTACTGCTAGCTTCACCTAGCACCATCAAGCTAGCTAACATTACAACTTAGCTGAGGAGGACACCGTTTATTTTCATATCTCCCACTGGTATGAACACAAGCCTCTCGTTCATGAGTAGATGCACGCTTCCTTCTGTGGGGTCATACAGTTGGTGGGTGTAGTTCGGTACAAAGAAAATAGTTCCTACATGAAACTGCTCACAACAAGGTCTGTGGATTATCTTGAGTATCTGGGTCATGATTTCTAGAAAGAGACATTGCTGCTAAGTTTCTCAAATGTTTTTTTGGTGCTTTGAGCACCACAAGCTGAGTGCCATCTAGTTCCATTATATTGGAGAGAAGTTAGACATCTCCAACACTCACAGCAAAACAATCTAGATCGATAAATAGCACTACAGGTAAGAAGAAAAATATGTATTTTTGATTTTGGGGTGAACTGTCCCTTTAAGGTAATAATTTCACTGATGAGGTGCACAGCTTTGCTGATGGCTCTGTTTGACTTTTCTCTGGACGTGGAGGCCTCAGGACGCAGAGCTGCACACATGGCCCCGTCTGTAATGACCCCAACAGCCTCTCTCTGTCTCACTGGGTTAACGGCTCAGGCCTGGGCATAAGGTTGTCTTTGTAGAGGATGAACATTTCGTCCGTTTGAGCTACAGGTAGCCTCTTGACATGTTTCAAGGGTCCAACCAAGTTTGTCTATTGTCTAAAAAAACTCCTCCAACCAATGTTTGGTTTATTATTTCCGTAGAGCAGGGGATATTTTATGCTTTAGCACAGACAACTTGTCGGGAGAGGCAGTGGTCTGCTGACTGCACATGAAGCTCAGGTTGTGTACGACTCTCTCTGCCAGTCAATCGTCTGTTCTCTTTCCACCACAAATTGTCCTCTGACATTCCTCCAATCTGAGCATGAAGTTAACCTGAGACTTTTCACACCTCTACCACAGCCAGAGAAACAAGCTCTCTTTTTAGGCCACATTTCTGTTTCCTTGCACGACGTGCAGAGCCTCAGATGAAAATAAACCACCAAAATGATGATTGTTGTTGCCGACATCTTGATGGTAACTGAACAGCTGTACAGCTTTTCTTTTGAAATTCAGACATACAGGGGGAAAATTTCGATCATCTCTTCAGAAAAAGACACTTCACACACAAGCCCACCCACTTACTGATTCACTCCTATCCTCAACTCTACACATACCAAGAAAACCATAATCCAAACATATTTACACTCAGTTTATTTAACGCTACATATTTACTTTGTAGCCTCTGACGCCCTCGGTAAACTCCTTCACCCTGCTCTACATCTTTCCTCTGCTGTCTTTCCGCTGTCATTATCAAAGAAGCCTCTAACTACTCTCTCTGATAGAGTGGAAACGTTACACCATTACACAGAAACTAGCACATATGATATAATCTCATGTCTTTAATATCAGCATGTTAGCTGCATTGTCTTCTAAACTCTGATATGCACCTCTGATGTGAGTATTTTGATGCTGCTGTGTTGACTCTGAGTCGTGTGCAGCTTCCTGTCCTGTAGCTGGCTGGAGGTTTGGAGGGCCGGGCCTCCGGCCAGCTCAGCCATCAATGAGGCCTTCAGCCGAGGGCACAAAAGGCAGCTTGTGCGGTCACGCAGGGCGGCGGGCTGCAACCAGTAACAACCGGCCAGGCCCAAACCAGGCACCGGCTGGGCACTAGATGTCAAACAAACTTGTTTATTAAATAGTCCGTGTGTGTAAAAGGCTGTGCCTTCTGGACAGATTGATTTAATAAGAAGGCAAAAAATAATAACATGATGTTTTCCGCTGGTGTTTGTTTCCACGTGGAGTCGGCATGTCATTTCTGTTTAATGGAATTAACACGACTGAAGCCTTGAGAAAAAAAATAAACGATTATTCTCAGCTGACAGCTAGTGACTCAGTCTATGGCAACTTTTATTGTCTGATGTACCCCACAGCCCTGTGAGATGAGCTCAAGTACTCCTTCAACAAAGCCAATAATGCTGTGTGATCCTTTAAACTTTAAGATCTAGTTTGTAAGATTTCATGGCATCTAGCGGTGAGATTGCAGAACTTAAACTTCTCCTGTTTGCCAAGCATGTAGGACGAACTACTTGGCTGACATGAAAAACACGAAAACGCAGATGGTCCTATTTAGAGCCAGTATTTGATTTGTCTGTTCTGGGCTACTGTAGAAACATGGCAGACCCTGTGGGAGAGGACCTGCTCCGTATGTAGATGTAAACAACTTACTCTAAGGTAACGAAAACTCAACAATTCTTAATTTCAGGTGACTATAAACTAATGAATACATAGTTATGAATATTATAAAGGCTACCATTTCCACCTATAGTTGCCCCTAAATCCCTGACACTGGACCTTTAACTGTTTACCAATTACTTCTATCTGTTTACTTACTTGTTTATTAATTTTAGCTAACTGTTTCAACTGTTTTTCTTTTAGCTAACTATCTATATGCTTCCATTATTTTTAGCTAACGATTTCAAACTTCTCCTTTTGTTAGCTAAAATAATGTTTTCATACACTCTCAACTGCAACACATAATGCTCATGTCTTGAAACAGTCTCGGTATAGCTGCTCACTTTTTGTGCATTCACTGAAGACTAGTGTTACATCAAATTTGTTATCCTATGTGGCTGTTTAATTTCTGTCTTAACAAATATGTGGGTATTTATTTAAATCACAATTTTAAGATCCTCTCTCAAAAATGTTCTTATATTTATGTCCCCTTGAATCCTATTTATCAGAAAGGAGTTTCTCTGTTCACATGGGCCAGTATAGATCTGCTGCATCCTCACTCAATTGTGGGGTGCCTCAAGGTTCCATCTTGGGCCCCATTCTCTTCTCCATTTATATGCTGCCCCTGGGTGCTATATTTAGAAAGTACAATATAACATTTCATTGCTTTGCAGATGACTTACAGATCTACCTCCCTCTTCAAACAAACAGCTCTGCCTCCATTCAAGCTCTGCTGAACTGTCTCAATGATGTTCACACATGGATGGCTTCAAATTTCTTGAACCTAAACAAATCCAAAACTGAAATTATTTTATTTGGCCAGTCTGACCTTTTAGATGCCTATGACAGTGCCATTGGCCCATTGGCTTCCTACTGTCACCCTGCTGCAAGGAACCTAGGAGTAATTTTTGACTGTGCCTTTAAATTTAAAAAACAGATTAGTTCAGTAGTCAAATCAAGCTTCTTTCAATTAAGGCTACTTAGTAAGGCAAAGCCCTACCTCCCTCCACTTGATTTTGAGAGGGCAGTTCACGCTTTCATTACCTGTCGTCTGGATTATTGTAATTCTCTTTATGCTGGATTGGACCAGCAGTCACTGAAACGCCTGCAGGCTGTCCAGAATGCAGCAGCCAGACTGCTGACAGGAAAGAAAAGACGTGATCATATCACCCCAATACTGGCCTCCTTGCACTGGCTCCCTGTCCAGTTTAGAGTTCAATTTAAAATCTTATTATTTGTTTTTAAAAGCCTGAATGGCTTAGCTCCATCCTATCTATCTGAGCTTGTTCAGCTTCACACGACAGCCAGAGCACTGAGATCAAGCAACCAGCTGCTGCTGGCCTGTCCCAGAACTAAACTTAAAAACAAGGGTGACAGAGCCTTTTCCGTTGTGGCGCCAAATTTATGGAATACTTTACCATTCCATATAAGGGCAGCCCGAACTTTGGAACACTTTAAATCTCTTTTAAAAACCTACCTCTTTTCGCTTGCTTTCACCTCTAGTTGAGACAGATATGTCTTTTACAGCTTTTATTTGTATTTAACCTGTACTCTAGTGTTGATGTTTTATTGTCTAAACCTATTGTTGATCTTATTGATAATTTTTGTGGTTTTTGCTATTCATTCACTCTTTGGATGAACTGTACAGCACTTTGGTCAACCGAGGTTGTTTTTAAATGTGCTATATAAATAAATTTTGACTTTTTTGACTTGACTAAAATGTCCGACCTTGACTGTACTGACTTGTATCTGCAAAGCCTAGACATATAAAGAGAACTGGATACAGCATTGGAGGCAGGGCCCTGTTCATTTCTATGAAAGTTGTTTAGTGGTGTAAGAAGCCAAAAAAGTTTGACTTCCTGGTTATAAAAACACCAATATCTTCTGCATCATTGGACCCAGAGAGCAAGCGTATGAGGGCTTCGCCAGCTTAGCAGAAAACTTCAATTTAGCCCTTTGCTAATTTGAATGTGGATAAAAAGATTTAATCATGCAGCTCTTCTAGACTTTTCAAATGTTTCAGACCAAATGGATCACATTTAGACAGTGAAATCAATCATTTCTTGGGGGCTGTGATGCTTAAAAATGTATCCACCGATTTGCAGATGCCTCTTTTTCAATGTAAGTCTATAAGAAAGGGCCGTCGGTAGCATAGTGGATAGTGCCAGCACCCCATGTACAGAGGCCCTGCCACTCTGCAGTGGCCGTGGGCTCGGTTCTGGCTTGCGGCCTTTTACTGCGTGTCAGTCCCTACTCTCTCTCTGTCTCCCCATCTCACTTATTGTCCTGTCCATTAAAGGCAAAAGGCCTACAAAAATACTCTTTAAAAAAAAATAAAAGTCTATAAGAAAAAGTCTTTTTGGGCCTGTTATTGAGCATCACATGACAGAGGAACCTGCAGTTACACAGTTTGGCTACTATATAAAATTGGCTCCAAAGCCCATTGCACTTCCTGGGAGTTTGGCGCAAAGTTTGTCACTAAGGTAATGTCTGTGTTTTTCCCTAAAATCTGAGATCCAAATGCACTGTGGGCAAGCTAGATTAGGTACACCAATACAAAAGCCAATCGCTGTTGAATACAGGAAACACATTCTGACAGGGTAACAGACTTTGACGGCAAAGAAACCTGAAACCTCTAGCGCAGAGTGGACTTGTCCAAATGGGGTGAGGGCTTGTGTTAGCATAATTTAAAGTTTTGATAGCAAACATGGCAGAGTGTGCAGTTTTTGGATATAAACCAACCCTGGAGCATCCTTCCTATATCAACCAAAAACCCCATCATAGCAGATACTATTGTATGATCTACAAACACAAACGCTGTGTCAGCCACTGACACCTAAAAGCTAACAAGCTAACAAACAACCTAAATATATGAAAGGTGCTACGTACACTTATTATTCTGATACGTTTGCTAGTCACTGACTTTGGTGCGCAACTCGTTTGAGTCTGGGTCTGGGTCTGACTGAGGCTCAAACAAATCTCTGCGATGTTTCCCCTTATGCTATCACCAACCATCTTGGTGCACACTGCTTTTTCGCGGGTCAACTTAGTGCTTGTCTCGCCTCACCAGACCTATCTCCACAAGCGGAGCGCTGGAGAAAGCAGAAATTGAAAGCGAAACCTTGCGCACGCAGTAGTGGCAGGCAAGGAGGAGGCCAGATCCAGAATTCCTCAGTGGGGGAAAGATCTGCCTCTAACCCATTTTAGAGTTTTTTGTTTGTCTACTTCTTATGTTGGAAAACCATGATAAGCAAAATATTAATCATAGCAGAGTATTTTTACACACTGTAAAATGTGTCTGGAGTGGACTTTGCATTTTTTTTAGTTGAGGTAAGTTTTAATTAGTTTAGCTTTCCATGAATCACCTGGTAACTACACCCTAATGTGCGAATACCTCTGGATGGGAATCACTGCACTAACATGACTCCACCTGTCAATCAAGAACCCTCCTTCAGACTCATAAAAGTCGTGCAGACTGTAAGGAGGGTTGATTTCAGACACTGGAAACACAGCAGGCCATTTGTTGGTACCTCAGGCCTCCTCAGTCAGGATTTCCCACCAGCTGGAGAGATGACAAAACGCGCAGATGTGTGTGTGTGAAAAGCAACCTAGCCGAGCATCGATACCGCAAACAACGCAGCCGAAACATGACATAGATGATGTCATGGGTCCTTGCTTCACCCTCTTAACTAGGTGGTGGTCACATTTTCCATAGTAAAATATCTGACAGATGACCAGCGTGTTTCGGATTTTATTCTGAACATTGGAATTGGGTTTCAAAACTAGTTCTCTCTGTACAAGGCTCTCACACTTTTATCAGATCAGCACTTTTAAGGAAGATCACGGAGAGTGTGTGAGTAATTATCACGCTTTGTTTCTTGAGCTTGTTATTTGACGCATCTCGGTTTGTTTCCCATACTGAGTCAGTTATCAGGGCAGCATGTCACGATGTTTCAGCCACCGGGTTGGTTTGGTGACGTGGTCAAGATTGGTGGCATTACTTGAAAACATCACAGACTGTATGTGCAAACCACAGACAGATAAGAGGCGGCTGCAAAGTGGAGAAGCAGTGTGAAGCAGAACACAGTCGTCCTTCATAACATTTCCCTCGGCTGTGTTTGCTGAGTGTTGTGAGGCATTGAAAATAAGTTTCCACCTTAAAATTGTGCAAAGCAGGAAGAAGCTGCAAGGTATTTTTTAAAAAAGCGTAGGCACTTCGATGTTAAATAAACCCTGACATTGTGTTGGCACAGAGCCGTTTTTTATAACAGTAGGTTTTGTGCTCTGTATGTAAAAGTTGACAGCTATGTTTGGTTTGTTTCCCACAGGACAGGGCGGACATCGCTGACTTGCTACATCCCTGTCGTCCCGCTGCCCTCTTGACCTCTGCTGCGACCTCTGGGCCTGAGAGCTGCTCTGCTGTGTTCAGAGCTTGTTTTCAGGTTGTTTTTAGAGACGTGGCAAAGAGGAACAAAGAAATTCAGAAAGTAAAAGTGAAAGAAAGACAAGTGAGTGTGCTGATCTGTATCTAAAATAGCACTCATGGTGAGAACCATTTAAGTGGTTCACATCCTACATCACTAAAAGAAAACCATCCACAGATGACAACATTGAATCTGTACCTGCGTCTGACTACCACCTCTAAATAAGCTCCACAGCTGCGGACCTTTCACTACCTCAAACCAATACTACTAAAAGGAATCACTTTAACTTTATAGCTGGAGGAGTCAGAGGGCAGCAGGTATTCAGTTTCGTTCGAACATCGGGCATCATGAAAGCCACTGAGTCATCCTGTTTGTCAAAGAGCAGCTTTCACAGCTCTCAGACGCTCAACAACTGCATCATTTACATCAGGCTGCAGACTCACACATCCCAGCCTGTGAGTGTGTGTGGAAAAAAGAGGGTAAAAATGACACGTATACACACATCTTTGATTTGATACCTACAGAGGACCAAACATCAGTCCATGAATCACCGACAGCAGATAAACAAACAGCTATAAGAAGGGAATATAATATACCTTTTCTAAAGTGTTGCTCTTGTTTAAGGAAACAGCTCTAGGGTGCAAAAAAAGAGAAGCAATAATTTAAAATGAGCTGGGATTTTTTTCTATAACAAGAGGCCATTATCTTAATTTGGAATTTCTTGATACTATTTCTTATAAAGAACGATTTTCCTCACATCACACTTTTCATCTCAAGAGTGACAGCCAGATTATTTCTATAAATTAGACTCAAGTATTACATGTTTTATCTTCTGTTTCTTGCAATATTTCTTAGAGGTTGCATACTCGTCATAAACATATCAATCCCACTCAAACGAAGGTTTACCTGTGTGTACAAAGGCGACCAAGAGGCCCAGGAAGATCAGGAGGAGGAACCTGCAGAAGCTGCTGCTGTGAACCATGGTGGTCGAGAGCGATGAGATGTCAGACAGAGCGAGAGAAAGCGTCTCCAGAACTCCTCGAACTTCAAACGAGTAGCAGACCCTGGGAGAGGAGCAGGAGAAGAGTACAGGGGAGCACAGGAGCGGGAGAGGTAGGCAGCTGAGGGGTGAGGGAAGGGGTGGGACTAGGTGTGCACAGGACTGTCTGGACAGTGTGGACTTTGTGAGCACATCATCGCAGGGCCCACCCACTCCAAACTCCTCTGGCCACATAGCTGGGTGTGAGGGGTAAACACGCGGTAGCCGCTGACCTTGGCCAGGTCACATCATGAAGGTCTCTGGACGTTTCACATCGTTATTCTTGAAGCTGAAAGGAAAGAAATTAATTTTCAGAATCTAAAAATGGAAGTGGTGGAGGAAGGATTCAAACTGGAACATTGAAAGTATCGATATCTCAGTGTAAAAAATAATCACACTTTTAGTCTGACGGGCTGTATGCGAAATTCAGAGCAAATCTGTGACTCAGAGATGGTATGATTTAAGGAGGGTGATGAATCCATAGTCAAATAGGGAACCAACCTGAGGTCTAGATGCTGCTGGTGGTAGAGGTGGTGAAGATGAGATGAGAGGAAGATGGATAAGTGCTGATGATCTGGGTGAGTAGAGGAATGAGCCTTTGTTGAACTCGTCCTGGACTGTGGATACGATAGCTGCCTAAAATGACAGCTGACAGCAGCAGAGCAGAGAACAGATTTAAAGTTTTGCAGTAGCATCCTGATTGGCTGATAGAGATCAAGGCGGAGATTGACTGGATAAATAGAAGGGTGAACACCCATAGTCAGCTGATTCAAGGAAGCAGTGGGAGTGGGAGGGAGCACGAAGAAAGTCTTCTTGATTGAACTTCATTTGTCAGAAGATCGGGATTGTCTGCACACGGCTCTCAACATGGAGGTGGCTGAGCCCACAGCCAGCAGCTAATGGTGCAAACTACATAAACGGTGTTCACAACGGCAACAGTGCTGACAGAGCTTACATTAGCCCTTTTTACGCAGAGATTGCGCTATAGATCTGCTACGAAGTCCCTTCTTTTTACCTCCTTTACATTTTTACACAGAACCAAATGACGGCAGCATCGTTCCGCTCCAGTTTGTGATTACACACTGCATCACAGCTTAGCGGAATCAAAAGAGGTGTGACAGGCGTGACATATAAACCATCAGAGTCGGCCTCTGGTGTGACATATAACATACACGTCGGCAGCGCTTTTTGAACAACTACAATGGCATTAATGTGGCAATAACAATCATTTACTGTCCCTGTTACATGGCGGCTTATCTGGTCCTCTGCTCTGAGGTAATGAGCTCCTGGACCTCATTCTTTTCCCAATTTGTGGACATTTACAGCTGCTGTTCTTCTTCTTTGAGTAGCTGCTAACTGCTAACAGCTACTTTTTGAATCTCCCACAGTGGGTAACATGCCTAACACATCATCAAATGACCGCCAGTGAGCCTGTCCTGCAGAGTGTCCCGTTTATACAGACATCGTTTCGGCGCTGTTATGATCTCCCTTGATCATACCTTATACACAGTACAACAAGGCGGTATAATGGTGAGATATTCCCGCCTTAAACAGGCAATGTAAAAGGGGCTAGTGTTAACCTGGTGAGACTGGAGGGTGGGGGCTATGCTTCCCTGACAACACCATCCCGCACCACATGCCAGGACGTAGATTTTAAATGGTAACTGACATTTAGATACCCAGTTGGACACACTCAAGAGTAATACACATGCACTAACATGTATGCAGCTGGACTGTCCACTGTAATCAGGCATAGAGACCCCTGGATTACTTTTCTGCTCTGGGCACCATTACTCCACCATGTCTTCATATATCAAACAGTTGTGTGCTGCTGTATTAATGCTCTGAATGTCACATAGTGACTTTACACAGGAGAACAGAACTGTTAGCAGAACAATGTTATGTTCCAAAAGCCACCTCATGATACAGTGACATGTTATACTGTATTATATTACAGGATTATTGTCACTAATGCATCAATACGTAAACAGAATTCTGAAGAGGTAATCCTGAAATTTGATACTGCACTTGCAAAAAGTTTGGGGACTCTCAGCAGGCAGACAAGAATAAAAATGGTTTAAGTCGAACTTGTGGGTGCAGAGATATCCTGACTTTTAGTCCCCAGTGTGGGTCATGTTCCAACAAGGTCTGGTCCTACATTTCCCATGATATAACTGGCCTTAAAATCATACTGAAAAAAAAAGACAAAGAAATGTTGGCTGATTTCTTGTTTGGACAAGAGTCATGCGTTTTGCTCTGTAGCAAGTGACGACCCGTCGACATAATGCTGCCACAGCAGTTGCTGAGAGCAGTTAACGTTTGTAACATTGAGCAAATTCGGTCAAACAGTCAAAGAGAGACTGTCGGACACTCATAACTTGTAACTCATCCACACTTGTCGCCATCTTTCTGTTGTCGTTTTTCATGGATGTAGGCAGCTACCTGTGTAGGAAGATGACGTCACTATTCTTAATCCTTTACAGGCTGCATGTCACATGTCATTATTAGTAAACTGAGCCTTATGTCAAATCTGTTCAAGTCCTATCTGATGTAGCAGGTTGAGGTGAAGATGGAGTTTTGTGAAGGAAGTATTAACTATAGCAATAAAATAAAAGTGGTACATCTGCACATACAGAAGTATAAAATGATGTATTCAGATGAAGTACAAGCAGTACAGTACAATGCGTGAGTTGATGGTTTGAAGCCTTGACCCAGTGAGTAATGGTAGTGAAGGCCTTTTACTTCACTACGGTGACGATTAGTGTGCGTGCTTAGAAATATGCCGTTGCTTTTCATGAGGGCACTGGCGGCTTTCATTTCCTCTTTGTGGATTTGAATACCATGACTAATTCAATGTCATATGCACTACAACTGAGTGGTGACAGGAGCAATTTTACTTCCTGAAAAGTTTTCAGTGTCAGTTTCTAATTTGACCAACCGTCCAATTCCCTGTGGGGAAAAATGGATTGCATCTGCTGTACACAAACTATAAATCTCAAGATGGGAGCAACAGTCATCAGAATATATTTAGCAAATCACTGGGATGATTACTCATTATTTAACATTGTGACAAATTCTTGAGTTTATATTCTACAAGACAATGTATGAGCGAAATAAGCAGTCACCGCCAAGGCTGAGTATTTCTGCCTTGGCGGATGTTCATAAGAACATGGATTAAGGGTTGCGTCACAAACCTAAGAAACCAGTCCCTTCATCTTACGAAACAAAGGGTATCAGAGGAGAAGTAGGGTTGATAGTAGAATAGAGGAACATGGGAGGGACACTCTGCCGTGCGTTATGCTGTGGTTGTTTTGTCATCATGTACTTCAAGGCAATATGGGGCACTGAAGTTGATTAATTCACTGGTTATCAGTCTGCAAGTCATATCATCATGAGGCAACTGATGACATCAACCAGTAACAACAGAGCAAACAGCAGAGCATCCCTCCCTCATCCCTCTGGACCATCAACCAAGAAGCAGGTGTCGGTATCTTGCTGACCAAGTTTCACTTTCATTTCAACTTGTCAGAGCCGGCTACCAGGAACAAGGTTTATCAAACATTAGCATCACATAATGAGCTGTATGGTGACGTAGTCAAGGCTAAAGTGATGTCCATCAATGACTACAAGCAGAAGTTTAGGTGTTTGATGGGCAGCTATCTCTGAACCCTATTGGTCTGATGATAATAAGCCTCTGGGGGCGAGGGCCAACATTTCGGGCTGATCTGGTGTAGCCAGCAGAGATCTGCGGCAACACCTCCTCATCTGTGCATCGGTCCTTTCGGCTAATCTTTATTAACATCTGCATAATGAACACAGATACATTTTATTAAAAAAAAAAACAAAAACAAAAAACCCTAATGTAAAGCCTAATCGTCGTCAGACATAGGCGATGCATTACGCCCGTGATTGGCTGATAGTACTCAGACTACATACTGAAACCAGAACACTTTGATACGAAAATGTTGCCCTGTCGCCTACAGAGTCTGCATATATATGCATAATCTGTTTATGTACATTAGATAAGCAGAGTCAAGGTGAACCGGTACGTTTGACCTCCAGGCGAGCGGCTGGGGGGGTGGGACGATTACGTATAGATCCACATACATTAAATGACGCAAATGTGTACTTACATCTAATCCATTTTAAGAGATTTTATAAAAGGAAAATAAACGCCTAAATATCTAATTTTGATGAACAGAGATAAGTTTTTAGGGGTTTAATCGATGCCAGGAGGAACTTTTTAATCAGGATCTGTGTGAAATGCTTTTATCGTCGTGTGAGCAGATGAATGTGTGTGAATCAAATAAATTCTGCACATTTGTGGTTTTTCTGAATAGTTCAGACACAGGTGTGAACAGCCCACACATCAGACTGTTTTATTATTCCATACCGCAATAAAAAAAGTTTGACTCCAGAAGATCATTTTTATATATTATAATACAGATGCAGAATTGAAAGTTTATTCTTTAAACAGCCTAGTATTTTACAAGAAATAGATAACTACTTGGAACTTTTGAACATGTCCTTAAAACAGGACATAAGTGGGCACGAATCCTTGGGCTCTACTTTGCCATCATTATCCATGAACACCCAGCAGAAAACAGGGAGGGAATAGAGAAGGGGGGGGGGGGGGGGGAAAGTGTAAGGGGAAAACTTTCAATAAATAAAACAAAAACAATGGATATTATCTCTCTAACCTTTCCCATTATACCCCCACCACCCCACCCATATATCCACACTTAAAAGAAACCCATACAATGGAGGCCAAATTTGAAATTTGTTGTCACTGCAAATTTCTACAACAGGACACGATCGGGAGCGAGCAGCATCAACATCTCTGCAGACTTTCTCCAAACTTGAGTTCGTATGGCGATAGCTCTCTTGGCTGGTTGGATGTTTCACTGGCCAGTTTGGTCCAGTCCATTCCTCGCAAAGTTTTCAGCAGATTATGGGTCCATAAGCAACAGGAAAACACACCCTGCCTCAGAGATTGCTGTTTGTTCACAATTTGGAGTTCATGAGGGATTACCAGAGTATGTCTGATGAATGGGAAACTGAAAATAAAAGTGAAAGTTGTGGAAGCAGTCGGAGGGGCTGTGGCAGGGGGGTCGGGTAAATCAGCTGCTGTTCAAATCGGATATAGTCAGTGGGGTTTGCTTGGCTGCAGTCCCTTAAAAGTCCTCCAAAGTCTCAATCTCTCCCATGTTCAATCTCTCAGATGACGCATTCACAGAAAAACCTGAGAAGTAAAAAAAGAAAGATCCAATTAGCAGATGGGATATTTAAAGTGGTGACACATCACTGCAGATATTTTAGATTTAGTCACAGATGGCTGTTTGCTCTCACCTAGAAGGCTGGGGTCTGCACGGACCATCTTTTGCTTCTTTTTCTTCTTCCCTGAGGTGACGGTCTCAAAGCGCTGCTGCTGGCCGCTCGTATGGTTGGACTGGTAGAGTGGCGAAGATCCTGTTCCACCCCATACAGAATCCTGGGCAGTAGAGAAATGTGGATTTAAAAGACTGAATCAACTGCTGGAGAAAAAGCTGTTGGTCTGAGATGCCAGCAAAGTCAAAGTGTTACTACTTGACTTGATTTGATCCCATTACATTTTGACG